TTCTTTCTTTCTTTCTTTCTTTCTTTCTTTCTTTCTTTCTTTCTTTCTTTCTTTCGCTCTCTTTCTCCCTACCCAACCTGGTTCATAGTGCTGCAGGTATGAGGAAAAATGCACTATGACTTAAATTCCTGGAGGAAAGGCAGGAACAACAAATGTATTATTTTATTCATTAAAGTGTAGGATAAGGATGCCTGGACAATTACAGCTAGAGGCTTTCATCAGTAGTCCACCAATCCCTTTCTTCTTAAGGTTTATAAACAGTAACTTCTGCATAGAAGAACCACAAATAAAGCAAAACACTGTAACATTCTCACATATTCTAATAAATAAAATAGCGAATCCCCCGTCTTTGCAACTGGAGAAGAAAATCTAAACATCTGGGCCACCGCATTTTTATGGCGGCTTGGAAAGAAGAAGCTGAACCGTTGCTATTGGCGACATTGAATTCCCGTCCGTTAATGAGAACAACGCCAGGTAGGGCCAAGACTTGGGGCGCTGTAAAGCAGGCTCTATTAACAGTCACTGGAGGAAGGGAAGGGAAGAATTCCTCTCCAAATTGACCGTTTTCGGGCTCCAAAAGACCCATCAAGGGGAACAGGCACCAGAACCATCCGACGACTGAGTAACGGAGAGAAGCACACCTTCCCTTCGAGCGTATCGGGCGATCTTTCCTTACCCCCTTCCCTTTTAAAGGCTACCCGGGCCAAAAGATCCCAGTCCCTCTTCCAGCCTCTCCCGCCTTTAAAAGATGGAGCTTCTCAGCGTACCTGCGACCCAAACAGAGCGGGGAGGGGAGGGGAGGGGAGAGGAGAGGAGGGGAGAGGAGGGAAGGAAGCGCGATGCCATCCTTTCATGGCATCACCGCCTGGCTTCCTAGCACATTAGCTCCGCCGCAGAGCTGGGTAGCTGACCTCCTCCCGCTCATGCACGCAACCCCTTCCCAGAGAAAGGGGACTGCCGTTACCTGCCGCCAGCTAGGATCAGATTGCTGCAGCGGAAGAGGGGCATCATTGCTCAGCCCAGTACAAAGCACTGTCCCTCGTCTCGCTCCCCCTCCTCTCTCAGCGCTGTTGTCGTGAATGGCATCCAAACGCCCATCTACGGGCCATTTTCCGGGGAGCCTCCTGGCACATGCCCGGCACCGCTTCTCGCCGAAAAGGAGACTCTCGACCCTTTCACGCCCAAGAAGACGGAACACAACACCGCCTGTCCCCGCGGGAGAGACGCAGCAGGGAGGGAGGGAGGGAGGGAGGGACCGGCGGCGGCACCGCCAGAAAAGCTCAGAGAAAAGGAAGGGCGATCTGAGTTACCTTTCCGCAGGGTCCAGAGGAGCGAGTCCCGCACCGCCGCGCCCGCCCGAGCCAGAATCCAGGGAGAGGCCGCCCGCACGGCGGGCCGTGCTGTACTCCTTCGCTCCCTCCGCCTCGCTCGCCGCCACGGCCAGCCTTGCGCCCTAGCGCGCGCGCGCGCGCGCCCCACCGCTGCGGCTGCGCTCCACTCAGTGCTCAGAAGAGCCGCTGCAGCGCCGTCGTCGCCACCTGTCCAGGCACGGCGAGACCCAGGTCACCGCCATCCCCGACGCCGGTGGGCTCCTCTGCCCTCCTCGCTCTTCTCCAACCAGAGCCCGGGCTGGCGTCGCCCCTTCGCCCCCCCCCCCCCCGCGCCACGGGAGAGAGACAGCTGGCGAGGGTCTAACGGAGCCCTAAGCGAAGGGCCAACCGACCCTGCCGCCGGTGTCCTGGGCGCAAGAACAGCAGCGAAGGACAAGTGAGAGCCCGGAAGTACTGTGGGCCGACAGCCAAGACCTCGATGCCTGGAGGGATGGAGGAAGGCACCTCTCCTCAATGAACGCCGCTCTTAGCCCCCGGACCGAAGCCCCCACAGAAGCCGAGCAAGAGGGGGAGGAGGAGAGGGAGAAAGAGAGGCGCGCTGGGAAAACCTGGATCTGGATTCACTGGAGTTGCGAGCTCCACCTACAGCTTGGCGCCCTCGAGTGAGCCGGGGAAAGGGTGAGGAGGTAAAAACCAACGCGCTCAGTCCGACTTTGGTTTCTCGGGCAAGAGTGGCGACTGATTCCCGGCTCGGTTGGATGGTTTATCTCCTTCTTCGCTTTTCTTACTGTCGAGTATGTTAGTAGGAAATTGCAAGCTGTATTTCTTTCTTTTCTACCTGTCATCTCCAACATTTACGAGTTCTTTCCCCACCTCTGTAACTCCAAGTCCCCTTTGGTCATTTTCTTTTTGGTGCCTTCAGGTCTTGGAATATTCTCTATAGGCATTGCATGAAAGAGCTGCCGTTTCATTTCCAGTTAAAAAGAATGCTCCTCTTGGATATCTTCTCTCTCCCCCGCATACACAGATTTTTCCTGCTTTCCATAAGACCATTTTCTTCCTGCATCAGGGACTTGCCTGAATCACAGACATGCCTATCCTTGTCAATGTTTTTCCCCTGTATTGTTACCTCTTACTCCCCCCCCCCCCCCCACACCCCCCCCCAGAGTAAACAACACACAAAAATTGCAGCATACCATGATTCATACCATATATGATTCAGATCAGGCTGAGAAGTGAGGGCAGGCTAATAGGTTGGCTATAAAGTCATTTGTAAAAAAAGAGGGGGTGCTGACATTTCAACCTTCCACATGTCCAACTCTATTTGCTTCCCCCATTCCTATCTTTCTTCACACAATTGCTGCAGCTCTGCAGTAAATAAAAATGATCTTTTGTAACTAGGCTTTGTACAATCTTAACTTCTCGGTGTATGGTTTTACAGTATTGCTGTACTGTACGTAAGTATAATAGCTCTTTCTCTAAGAATTGTTGCTGGCTGCAACTATGAAAAGATGCTTTACATTAATGAAATGTAGGTCCTGTAAGGATTCATTGGCATATAGTCTTTAGAGCATATTCCTTTCTGAGCACTGTGAATATTACCTTTTCCATTCTTCTCATTATGAATATTGGAAGGGGAAACTACTGCAAAATAATTTGGGTTATTGTGTGAGCATGGTTGACGGATTACTGAATCGAACATCAGCAATAATAAAAATATTTGGATTGGAAAAATGATTGAATAACTAGCCTTTTGACTGAAGAGAGACAGACAAACAGACACTGGAATGTGTGTATATTCTTCTATCTATGATCGATCAATCACAATGTATCAGTTTGTACTATCTACTATTGGTTTTATAAACTTGACAAAAAACAAAGTGGGAGACCTTTGAGGGGAAAAAAACACCCATGAAAATAACCTATTGTTTTCAAGAAGTGATAGCTACTTTCTTTAAAACAGGAGGTCAAGAACTTAAAATGATGAATTTACAATTCATGCATGGTGCAGCTTTGCATTTGATAACCTGCCTGTATGATACAATTGTTTTTGCATGTTATCTGAAAGCAAATTACAGCAATATCTGTGCATGCCTTATTCTATTATTTGCATTTTTGCATTTCCTATATACACAAAATATTGCATTTCAACCCACAATTCTATTTTCCCACAGAAAATGAATGAATGGGATAGCTAATTCTATAGCAGACAGAAATATAATTCAAAATTATCTTGCTTATTTAGAGAAATACACTAGAAATAAGAAAATGAAACAGAAAATAGAAATCATATGCTTAGGTATGATGTAGGGTTACCTGGTAATATCACTTATAAATTAAATCTTACAATAGTACTTGGTTACAAACTGAACATGATCAGTATTGTAAATGCAAAAAAGCCAAATACTATTTTATGTTAGATCAATGGAAGCAGAGCTTCCAGATCAAGGGAAACAATAATTCTATTTGAAACAGGATTATTTAGACTTCACCTCAAATACTGTATTCAGTTCTAGGCACTACACTTTAATTTTGATAATTTGGAACAATTCAGATACAGGCAACAGGGATCATCACTATGCTAAATCTGAGTGCTATCTAGAGAGTAAAGCTTTGTATATAACTTCAGTATCCTAAATACATAGCGATTGTTAGGCTATCTCAATCCAAATCGAATTATATTTGGTATTTCAGATGGATCTAATAACAGATCTCCAAGTCCTAGTGGCCAGTGGCAATGATAAATTCAATTATAAGTCAATTTAATGTCCCTAATTCTTTACAGAATATCTGCCATGCCTGAACTGATGGTAAATTTATTGGCCCATAATAAATGCTCATTCCTACATAACCACTGGTTTAAGGTATTTTTAATGGCCACACTATCAACTGACCCAAGTCATCAAGGGCCCAGTGTGTAACTATGATCACACTTGGAACTGGCTTCCCTAATGGGACAGAAGGGTGTGATCTGGGATGGGGAAGATTATCAGGGCAAGATCACGTTGTTGTTGTTTTTTAAAAACATAAATTATGGGGGAAAAATAAGATCCCAATAACTTTGGAAAAAATAAAATAGTCTTGGCTAAATGGATTTCCCATTCCAAGTGGCTTAATTTCAGTGATAGTCAAAAGCTTGGAGAACTGGCAAAAAATAATCAATAAAAGAAATATGCAGTGGTGGGGGGAACTGAGAGGAAGATTCAAAATTTTGCAAGATTCAATATAAATTGGTGGACTTGCCTTTCCCACCCTTATATTGAGCAAATTGTCTATTACGACAATAGAATGAATAAAATCTCTGAACAGCAGTCACAGAGCTGGTTTAACTATTGAACGTATTTGTGATATAAAGAAACAACAGAAGAATTTGAAGAGATAGGAGTCTGGCAATCTCATCATTAGCATCACAATCAAAATCAGGGACAATTACAGTTAGATTTTAATCACATATTCCATATTGTACATTCAGACTCACTCAAGAAATAGACAGCCCAGCAATTACTGCCTAATGAAGATAAAAATTTACTCTAGTAGATATAGTATCTACTACTATAGTATCTACTTATAGCAGATGTATTTACAAATTGCCGGAATAATAAAAAGAGATCTCAAGAAAAAAAAGAAAGGACCTTGAGAAAGATGACAGAATTTCAAACACTTAACAAAACCAAGATCATCTACTGGGATGTATATATAAAATGTGATAGAAAAATGGAACAAATCAAAAATTTGTTACACAATAAAGGGGATGCCAAACTTGTAAGAAGTAATCACAGTAAAATAATGGGGAAAGCTGTGGAAAGCTTGTTTACTGCAAGCTTTAATTTGAAGGAAAATTGGTATAAAATGTTTTACAAATGGTGCCTAACTCCACCAATATAACAAATGTTGGAAATGCTACAACAAAGAAGGAACATTTTATTAAAAGTACAGGGAAAAGTAGATCAAAAGCTTCTGAAGAATTAAAAAATGAAATTTGAACTGAAACCACAAATATTTTTCTATTATGAATAATTCCAGAAAACAAATAAGTATCAAGAATTTACTAAGATATATGTTGATAGCTGTAAGAACAGATTTGCACATTACTGAAAAAAATTAAACTTTTGCCAGTGATTCAGAACTGGAAGATCAAAGTATGGAGAAGTAGCAAAACTGACTGCATATAGGAGCTTAAGTAAATTCAAGCAAGAATGGCTCCTTCATATATGATGCACTGCACAGCAAAGCGAATTCAGATATTTGTAATACTGTTTGGGGATAAAAGAGGCCAATAAAAAACAATAAAGTGATTGGAATAGATACTAGCAATAACCTCCAATGTTTAACATTCAAACTACAATAGTAATATTTAAAGAAGAGTTTATGAGGAACTAAGTGATAAGGTTACCAAAAATCTTCATGATGTTTTTACTTATATTTTATTAGTACTGACTTATTTCCTACTTTGCTTTTTGTATCTTCACTCTTGTCCAATTTCTGTTCAAATAATCTGTCAAAGCATTTATGTAATAAAAATGTAAAATAAATCTCTTTTTGATTGCCTTGGAATGTTTGTGAGCTGCTCTCTGGAAGGGAAGTAAGACCTGTTTCCTATGTCCATTCCAGACATCGGATGGACCAGAATGGATTCAGATTGATGTTGTTCCTGAAGGTTTGCTGCATAGTCCAATAGATGTTTTGGTTAATGGAAAGAATGGTGGGGGTGAAGTGTTTTCTTATAGATCCTGGAGTTCCCTGTCAGATCCATGTATCTGTCATTTCTTCAGTGGATGAAGAGGCTGATGAAGAAATCCTTTCTTGATGTAACCTGAATATATTTAACCCTATATCGAATTTGTATAACCCACACATGATACAATGGAGGGAGAAAAGCCAGACGGCCAGAACCTATCACCTCCGAGAGGCACGGCCAGGAGATGAAAAGATCATAAAAATTCCACAGTGAGATGTATCTGGGGAATCTCTGGAAAAAGTTCATTCTAAAAAGGGGGTGGCGGGAAATTAGGTATGTCCTGGAAAACTGTGAGAAAGATCGTTCCTTACAAGAGGGATGGGGAGGAATTAAC